TAAAAAAAAAAAAAAAAAAGAAAGAAAAAGAAAAGAAACAATCATCTATAGTCCCTGTCATGCCAAGATTCTTTCATATTTCTCCACCAGAACATCACTTTTTTTCCTTTCTTTTATAGCTCTCTGCCATATCCTTCCCCAGCACTGTGGTTTCTGTATCACACATACACACACCCCTCATTAGCCCCTCCCAGTGTTCCCTATGGTTTTTTCTTTTTTTTTCAACAAAGTGTACCTTTCAATAGCCAGAGTTCTTTCATAAGTACCATCTCATCACTTCAAGGTAATAGACATCCCCTCATTAAAATACTGTATTCTATTTACACTGCAATGGTATACAAAATTTATATACAAGATATTGCTGCCAAACAGTATTGTCCCCATGTGCTTTCTTTCTGCCGTATGCCTTCCTCTTATCTTTTTCCGTAATTTTATAGGGGCTCATTTCTCTATTTTATTGATAAATGTAACGAGCTTGCAGTCAAATAGTAATAAAAGTTACCCTGCCAGGAGCCCACTACTATGACATTAAAGAGTACAGCTCAGGAAACCAAATCCTTCTCTCATACCTTCCATCTCTAGCCTTGTCTTCCAAAGTTACTAGCATCAAATGGAGACATGGAAATAGAAAAGCTGTGCCTGCTCTTTAGAACTTCAAAACCCTTAGATGTCTTTTAAATGTTTCCATTCATGTAAACAAGAAAAATAACCTTGACTGGAGTGCAAACTTTAAGACAGCGAGGACCATGTCTATTTTACAAACTGTATGTCCAGTGCCTAGTACATGTAAGACCAGGAGGTGCACACTTTGGCCCATGGACCAAGTCCTGCCCACAGCCTGTTTCTGAATGGCTCATAGCTAAGAATGGTTTTTACATTTTTTAAGCGTTGTTTAAAAGAAAGAAGAAAGAAAGAAAACAAAGAGGAACATATGACACAGACCATATGCTCCCCACAAAGCCTAAATTTGCCCACCATGACCCTTCTTAGAAAATGTTCGCTGACTCCTGTATTAGACCCTCCAATATTTGTTACAAGTGAAGGCAGGGAAGGGAGAGGTGAGGGAGCTCTAAAAAATGGAGAAGGACAAACAGAAATTTGCAATAAATATAACTGGTGATCACTACAAACAGTAAAACTCGCATAACAAAAATTGTACATGTCTTTAAACTGTTCCTTGACTTCCATTTTCAATGAGTTCCAGAAGAAACTAAAGATCTTTCACCTGCATGTTTTAGAGATCTTTTTGTTTTGTTTTTTTAGGTAACCAAGCTGTTGTTGAATCACAGGTGCTCCTAGGAGAACTAAATTTAAACCTTGGTGGTACACCTCTTCTCCAACTAGCCTAGTTAACATAAATGTTAGTCATCAGCCAGGTGTCAGCCACTGGGAGGTGTCAGTTCATAGGTATATACCTATAGGTATATATGAGGTATATACCCTCATGTACACATCCTTGCCCTCCACACAGCACTAGAGCTAAGCATCAACACTCCACATTTTACCATCTATCCCCATGTTACCTATTACTTCAAAATTTCATTATTTAGAATGCTCCAAAAGTCCTGCAATAAAGTTTTGAATGCTGAAAATGTTTAACCAAAACATGAAAGCCCTATTCTCAAGTAATATAAAAGAGCAGTATTAGACCTATTCATAGCAATGTCTATTAGAAGCACATGCAAAGGTGTACCTGAAAATGCTGCTCCATCACTTGGATTTTTCCCTGGTCTGGACACTTTTTCAGAGCTCGATCTGCATAGTGGAATAGGATTTCTACCATCTGTAAGGAAAACAGCCTTGTATAGAAAATCAAAATATCTCTCTAAAATTTTTCAATACTTAATATATGTAGGTCCTCCTAAATAATACAGAATTGAGTTTTATTAAAGATATAACTTTTTAAAAAATTTTTTTAATGTTTTTATTTATTTTTGAGATAGAG